ATTCGAATGATTGTGGGTGGGTTAATGGGAGGTGGTAGAGGGAGGTGAAACAGCTAGACATTGCACTTGAAATTCAAGACAATGGAAAATTTGTAATGATGGATGTTGTCGGTGATTAGGTTGCAAGGTGAGGGGCAATCAAGATGCGGCGGAAGTAAGTCTATAGTTTAAAAAGTTCTTAAAGACTGTTTAGATTTATATTTTCAAGACAACTTAAATCAATAAAGTTAGACACCCAGAATGGAAAGTTCTTCTGATGCAATAAAATCTCTGGAGTTGTTTCTACAAAAGCCCTTCTTGGGTGCAAGATCTCGGCTTACCAACAGCTTTGCTGCAGTCTGTAAAATGCAGAAAAAAAATGTTTGTTCAAGGCATTGAATATCAGAGCCAAATTCGAAATACAAACACACAGATTCAGACGCAGACGGAGGTGGCAGATTCAGATAGAAGAGAATAGTGTCGTTTGTTTGGCCGTCCGCATTTGAGTCTCGACGGGATCATATTTAACGCTTAGCTGGGCTCACCTCCACCTCCATACCCCGGCCAGCAACTTTTTGGGGACAGCTCTCATCTGTCAACAGGAATCCAGAACGGACCAAGTCAAATGTGTGCATTAAATGTCAATAACCATAACTTAATTCGTTTGGACTTTCATTGGGTTTTCGGTTTTGGGTTTTGTGCTTTTGTGCTTTTGGTTTGTCTTTCACATCGTTCATTGTCATTGTTTGCTTTTGAAACAAAGGTCAACTTACGCCAGCCACTCCCACCCCCTTGAACTGGGTAGTTAAGGGAGCTGAAGGTATCGGAGGTCTGAAATCGAATAGTCTGGCCACTGCAAAAATATTGACTCAACTGCAGCATTTTTCCATAGGGTCGGAGAAGAGGCAGAAGGGGAGGTGCACCATAAATCACAATGATGCCCAGACTTGGTAGGTTTTTGGTCCAATATTGGTTTAGGTTGTCCGGGAAACAGATTAAGCTAATTGTCAGCCAGCAGAGATCAATGGGGATGCTTGGCCTGGAATTAGGTTTATTTAAGAAAGGAAGTTTATCCGGGGAAAACAAGTGTTAAAAGTGAAAAAGGTTATGGGTTATTCTAGCGAGAATTAAATAATATTTGATAGTATTTCTAGACTTTAAAGGTTCTTCTTTAAACATTTTATTTTTAGGTCATAAAATTTGCGTTTTATTGCCCTGCAATATCCTCTTTTCAAACATAAAATTCGCGCACAAATCCCGTGGGGAACTTTCCACTCAACACCGCCCCAAGATTGTCAGCCTGGCCATCAGGTAAATGGAAATGGAATACGTCTCAAATCGAAATTCCTTGGGGATTTGGCATCAGCTCAGGTCCGAAACTATCTTTCAGACCAATAAAAACGAGACCATTCAGCATGGCAAAAAATGAAATACTCAGGTGACTGACGCATGGCAGGAACACACACATTTACATATTTTTTGGCCAAAACGAAGAGTGAAAATAAAAAAGGAGTATAAAGTTGAATTGAAGATACCAAAAAAGCAACCTAAAAGTAAACAGAAGTTTTTTTTCCAGGGGGCATGCCACTTTTTTGTGGGTCCCAGGAAGGTTTGTTGAAATTGAAAACGGCGTTGATTATAATGTCAATACTCATAAATACAACAGAAATACCCGAACAACAAAAAGCAGCTCGTTTATAAAAAAATATGTATAACTCTAAACTTGTGACACACAGAGAGAAGTACGATATATTGGTTATGGCGGGGAGGTCGGGGGGCGTGGCTGATCGGTCCGCTTCTGCTCATGGGTGCGGTCCAAAACATTTAGCTTGCTTTACCCCTTTTATTGTTGTTGGGATCTTATTTATTTTGCGGTCAGTGTTTTTTGCCTTTTTGGTACTTTTTTAGCTTTTTATCGTCGTGTCTTTTTTGGAGTTAAAAAATCAAAATGTATGTTTCATGTTCTCCATTGGCACATTGGCACTTTCATGGGCATTACTAATACTGAATGGGTAATAGAGGTATTTCAGTTTTTAAAGTGATTTAATTTTATATTATTTATTTAAGCCGTAAGTTAACTAAGTTTTAACAAAAGCTGTAAAAAAAATATTGTGGTTATCTCAAAAGATAAAATTCTAATTTTTCTGACAAAAATCGATTTTTTTACCACCCACAACTATACCAATAATTGCCCAAATACAGAATGTTATACCTCATTTACTTGTAATTTGATTCCCAACAAAACTGCATTCAAGCCTTAAAAAAAAAAATTTTGTAATTTTTTTTTTCAAAGTTTTATGATGTTACCCCTTATCAAATTTGCAGAATTAACCAAATTTTAATATTTAAATTTTTGTAAATTTTCTACAAAATAAGATCATGGATTATAGATGATTCTTTTCCGAATATACAAAATTTGGTCCACTGTGATTTTTCACCGAAAAACCAGCATTTTTCGCATAGCAAAGTCAAAAATGTTCGGATTTATTCTAATTAATTATTTTTTTAAATTAACCATCTTTTTCAAGTAACTTATGTGCACTTTCCAAGAGTATTCCTTTCCTCACGTCTAATACACAATTGATATCTTGTTGCTGACTTGTCCTTTGGCTACCTGCCTGATCTGTCGCCCACCTTTCCGCCCCGGGGAATCCTCTCGAGCTCTCCATCTTCATCGCCATCCCCATCGCCATCGCCTCGATGTCATTGTCACCCCTCGACTTTAATGCGCTTTGGCATGCTTTTAGGCAATAATTCATGGATTAACGCCATTTGGCTTAAGCTCGTTTCTTTGGCTGCTTTTAGCGCAGAGTTTTTGATATTTGGAGCCTCGCCTTCACCTTTTTTTTTTTGTGTTTGGTTTTGGTGCCATCGCCACTCGGGATTGGCATTCCTTGGACGTGACTAATAAACCTTTGTCCCCATCCTCGTTCGCCGGCTCTAATGATCTTGCTCATTTTTTGGCCACAGAACAGAAATTCGTGTGTAGCGATTTGTTGACCACAACAAATTGCATTTGCCCATAGTACCATAAATAACTTTTGCAAATGTCCCGGGGAATCCTCCGGCCTCACCTCCGCCGTACCTGTGTGCATACATATATGTCCTTGTACCTGACTGAGTGACTGCTGACTCCCAGGACTGACTGGGAGCACGTGCTAAGTGCCGGGGCGTCCATTAATCAATGCAAGTGGAGCGGGACGCATCGGTCCGCCTTGATTTATGCCTTAGAATATTATTTTTGATTTTTTGAATTCCTTCGAAAGCAGTCTCTTCCTGCCTATTGTTGGCAAATTTCATTTGGCATCTTGTATCCTTTATCCTTGTGCCTAATGCGAAAGCATTTCGGATTTGAAATTCAATCCGCTTGGAGAGCAGCCTCTTCTGTGTCCTGTCGTCCTCCACTTGTTTTAGCCATTTCTATTCCCAAGCGGCCAAACATTTTGCGCTCGCTTTGTTTCTGCCAAGGCATGCAAAATTTTCGGATGGCAGAAAGATGTGTCTGAGGGGCAACTCGAGGGAAAAGTGGTAAAAAGAACTATAAGAAAAAGGTTGAGACAGGATATGGAACCAGCGGATGTGAAGCAGAAACGAAAGACTGGTAAAAGGATGAAAGTTTTAAGTTTGGATGTATATTTAAGAGGCAACTGAATTTAGCTGAGATGTTCACACTACACAATATTTATATTTGGAAAATGTAAGTATTACTAACATATTATATTTATTTCATACCAATATAATCTTTAAACCAAAGTATATAGCTTAAATTTCCTTCTTTTAAACTTTAAGTATATGAGGCAAAAACAAATGCAACACAATGTCTGCTACTTTCCATATAAAAGTATTTCTTTAACAACTAGAAAATATCTTCACAAAGTTATAATGCTGGGGAATGCAAGACAAAAGGAGGTGGAAAAAAGCCTGGAAAAGAAACCTCATTGAGTAGCAGCTGGTCATCATTGTTCGGGGAAACGGGGAAAACCCAAAGGGAATGGGGAAACTGGGAACTGTCTTGCGGGTGACTGAAGCTCCCAAGTGGTATTGGCAGCATCCTCCTCCTCCCATCTTGCGCAACTTCTTCTACTTCTTCTTCATCTTTTCTTCAACTTCCGTTGCATGAATTTCCGGCCATGGCATTTTCATTGTTTTTACTACAACTACCACTACTACTTCGCCAGCGTCCTCGGCTGGCACTTTCCATTTAGCTGAAAGTTGATTCGCATTCAGGGCATTTAATAAGCGCTTATTGTGCTTAAGCCTCATTGTTGTCCGTTCATAGTTATTTGTGTTGTTCGGTTAATACTTTCAGTGACTTTAATGACCGGGAAAGAACAATCTAGCCAAGGCAAATGGCAAACTTTGCCAAAAACTGTTGGGGCCATGCAGCAGGACTTATCTGTAAATTAGACTTAGGAAACTAACTGAGCTTGATGGTAGATGGTAAGGGTTTCTTTCAGAAAGGATTATTATGTATTGATACAAAATTCAACCGATTAAATAACATTTATATCTCAATCTAAATTATCGTAACCGTGCATAGAAAAAGCAATAATGACCCATAATATTGATATTACGCACTTACCAAAACACTATCTTTTTCGTTTATCCCATGAATTTGCATCTTCGATAAAGGGGTGAGTGGGTGGTCTTCAATGCTATTCTGTGGCTTCTTTGGGCAATTAGATTGGGCATTTAGCCATGAAATTTGCGAACATATGGCTTCTATCAGGCCAAAAACAACAAACGGCCGCTGCTAACAGAGCGACTAACAGAGGGCGGTTAGCAGAGCGGCGGGCTGTTAGGTGAGGGAAGATGGGGAGTGGTTTTGCGGTAATTGCAATGTGGGGCTTGGCTTGGCATGCTCTTTGTGCGCTCTCTCTTCTTCGTCACTGTGTGTGCCACTGTCTGTCTCTTTTCTCCCCCCTTTTAACAGTTGTTCGTTTGTACTTCGGCTAACGTTCGGCTTTCGCTTCGGCAGTGTTACAGAGCATCTGCGTTCTTCAACATTCTTTAACAGCACCGCGGATGCTCCGCTTCGCTTCTTCTCTTAAGCGCGGAGCTCTCTTGTGGCGCTCCAATCGGCTCCATTTCGCTCTCTCAGGTTCTTTTGGTTGGGGCCACCGACTGGTTGGTTGGTTGGCTGGCGCTCTGCAGCTGCGTTCGTGCGCTTTTTCAAAATAGTTACAAGATGTTCATCGAAGTGAGTGGAACGCCGCAGCGGTTAAACGGAAACGGTCGCATGGACTCTTGAGCAGCCGAAGAAGCTCGCTTCCGAAATCGCTTTAAAAAAACAAACAACGTACAATAAATCCAAAAGCCCAATCGCGTTCTTCGTTCTTCGAGTGGAAACCAGCACAGCACAAAAAACACGACACTAATTCATCTGCAAATGGAAAACAATTCCAATTCTTCTAACTTCAAGCCAAAATAAAAAATAAAACCCAGTGAAACAAGAAGTGCATTCGGTTTTCCTGCTCGTGGAGCTATTGTTATTTTTAAATTGCTGACCGCAGAATATTTTTAAACCTTAAAATAGACGGCAATACACAAAAAAGAGATGCCGCCGAAACAGAAATAAACCAAAAAATAAAAATAAAAAAAACACCCAAAGGGTATAAACTCGAAAGTGCCAAAACAAACAAGAATTTCGCTTAGGAAAAGTGCGTGTTCTAAAAATATAACTACTACGAATCTAAAACCGCAACAAAGTAGCAAATCTAGGATTATTTTTGCCGACCAATCTCAACGCAAAACTGCATTTTGTTAAAATATTCAATCTGGAGACGCAAAGTGTCAAAGTGTAGTGCGAAAGAAGAAATATTTATAAATCTCTGCCAAAAAGAAAAGAAAAACATAAACAACCAAAAGAGAGAAGAGAGAATTCTACTCACATTTCGTGCATTTTATACAGATTTTCGTTTTTTTGGAATACAAAATAAACAGAAGTACAAGAGGCGGAATCCATTAGTTCCGCATTAAAGTGTTAAAATAAATTAAGTCTTGGATACTCCGTGAACTTTGCATTTTGGAATACTTCAGCAGCATTTTGGATATCCGTGCTAGTGAATTCTATAAAAATAATATATATTCTCTATATATATAACCGATCGATCTGGAGACCAGAAGGAAATAATTTCACAAAGGTTGGTAAACAACTTATGTTTGTGATCACTGTGATTGTTGAGTAATAGATTGTGGCTGTCGCAAAATATTTATATTATGCACACGTCTTTAAGCATACGACAGGTTGGCCAATGTAAGAATCTGCTTGTGAACCAGCCAATGGCCATGAGAAAAGTGTAAACAGAATTATCGCTGTTTTGTTTGTTAAAATATATGAAAATATAGGTGTTTTCAAAAATGCAAGAATGTTTTTGTATGTGTCAATGTTTAAGAATTTTTAGATGTTTTCAGAAAAATTTTAAGAGTTTAGTGACTAAAAATGAAAGTGATATTTGCTTTTTTAAGAAAAATATTTTAATAATTACCCTGTTGTTTTTTAATGTCTAAAGTATTTATAAATCTCGAGACTCCTTAGTTTTCTAGACCAAACCTTTTCATGAAATTCGCCCAATTGCCATTAATTCGAATAAGCATAAGCAGCTGGGAGTTAGGTAATTAAAAAAGCCCAACAGACTTTCCATGGAAAACAAATCCATTTCGCCCAGACCACAAACACCTGGAGACGGCAAAGTGTGAGATCTTTACAAAGAATAATACTTGAGACCGAATATACATACACATAGACCGCAAGACTGGGGTACTGTAAACAAGAGAGTCCCCGAGTGCATATCTCATTACCAGACCAAGGATCATCGTCAAAACAAAAGAAAGAATTGCCAGTAAGAACAACAAATGTAGGCAGAACAAAAAGGCGAAACTTTTCTCATTATCAACGCAAGTGTTTTCCCTTTTATTTATATATATATTTTTTTTCGCAATTCTTATAAGTAGAAGTGTCAGTCAGGGCCATGGATATGGCCACCAGCAACTGGTCAGCCTCAGTTCTCGGTTCTCAGTGGCAAATCCCACTTCCCACACCGGAATCAACGTCATTCATAAAACTGAAAGGGGGAAAAATGTATGAAACACGGGACATTTTTTACATCTGTCATAAATTTTCCTGCACTCAGACATAAATCTATTTTCTGCATTTTATTTGTTTATTTAAAAATTCTTATGCAGGCCGCAGAAAAAAAAGAGAAAAAAATGACGAGAGCCCATAATTTGCAACCTGATTGATGTGACAATTCCTTAATTAATTTTTGTTGGAAATACGCCTTATATATGTCTGGCATTTAATTAGCAAATCTGTTTTCGGGAGAGGTAATACATCAGGGTAAATGATGTGATGCGAGTGCAGCAGAGGAATGAGTTTATTCACATTGCCGAATCTATTATCTGGCTCGTTTACCTTCCCCTGGCCAGGTAATTGAACCCTAGTCTTCTCCTGCCTTGCCCTTCCTTCTTAGATATGAACTCATGTATATATTTCTTTTCCCACGATTTTGTCAATCAATCTTTCATTCTTACTCAACTAACCATGGCATTTTGGCAATTATTTAGAGGCAGCGCCCTGCAAAAATTAAATAAAGCAAATAATACAAATTGTTGATAAGACCACGGTGCGTTGTGAGTGCTTCTGTTGAGATCGAGTTCAGTGACTTAACTTTATCACCGCTTCTGAAACTTTTTGGCTCAACATTCTTCGTTCTTCTGGCTTCTTGTTTCTTCTCTGCTGATAAGAATTGCTGAGGCTGAAACGACGAAGAAATTGAAACCGTACCCAATGTGTTTACATTGCATTTTAAATAGTCCAGCAAGAGTTGAGATTTCTGGATTGCGTGATGACAAATTCTTTTTTAGTTCTTAGATTTTTAACAGTTTTTTATTTTAGCAAAAGAGCTTATTAAAAAAGTATTCCAGGAAGTGTTTGCACTTTTAGAAAAGTTGCTTAAAATTAAATTTAAAACTTTCCAGATAACCAAACTTGTATTAAAACTCCAAAAATAAATCAAATGGCATACAAATTTTCATAAATCAGTTGGCCTTTTGCAAACTTCATAAATTATTCACCTGCACTTTGTCAAAATCTAATTAAAAACACATTTTCTTATCAGACAAAAACCCCGCAAAGTATGCCACAAATCAAAAGTTTCTTTTGGCCATAAATAAGTTATAATTAATTGGCCAAAGTTGTTATATATATATATTGGCAAATAAATTGCCAAACAGTCACAAATGCGGTCGAATTGAAGAACTGCCACTCAAAATCAGGGAATAGCCAAACAAATATTTCCCATCCATAAACATTGTTAAAAATGCAGTATGCATTAGACTATTTACCCCCATTTCCCCCCTTTGCTGCTTCACCCAATTAGCTTCGGCTACTTGTGCAGTAAATAAGCCCAAAAAAAAAAAAAGAAAAATACACAAAGATGCTGCAAACACAAACGGAGAATGAAAAGCTGGCAATAGAGGAAAATATTTTCTGCGCCATATTTTGCAGCCAACGCACATAAATAAGCTCCTAGACCAAGAAGCCAAAAAGGCAACAGAATGGGCGTAGAAAAACTTGGTCGCATTGTTGCTGCCACTGCCACTGCTGCTCTGCTCTGTTATGGTTGGCAACTGGCCAAAAAGACATGGCCAAATGTGCGCCAGTTCCCGCTGTTAGCCATCATCCAAAAAATTCAGCCTCCCATCATCATCCCTTCCTTTCGGTCCTGCTTTTTGCTTTCGGCCAATTTCTGTTGTCGGCTCGCTAATAAATAATTTTAATTGTATTTCTTTTTAGCTGTACTCTTTTATTTTTTGGCTGCTCCACTTCTTTGGTAATAAAAAGATTTCCATTGTTGCACTAGTTCGGCTGCGGGAAATGGCTAAGAGAAAAAAAAGTAAAAAACGTGATCAACAGCAAATTGAGTTCGCCTTTATGACTTGGCCAATTTGCACAGTGTGTGTGTGTCTGTGTCTTATCAGGCTGCAGCGACACCATTGAGGTTGGCCAGGTTTTCCCTTATTTCTCTTCTGTTATTTTCTTTTTTGCACTTTTTATGTGCCACCGCCAGCCGGTGCCTCCTCCAATCTTTGGTCGACAAATATGTCGAGTGCTTGACTTGGGCAAACTTTGTCACTGATAAGACTGTTGAACACCCCCGATCAGCCTTCCTTCTGCTCATGTTCGGAACTCTTCAATTTTATGCTTGCCACACGAAAAAAAACCTCTTTTTTTTTATTATTTTATAGTATAAAAAATTTCAGTGACTTTTGTACTTCATAAATTTGATTTAAAATTTACCTACAAAATATAATTTAAAAATATATAAAAATATTTTTCACCAGAAAGAGTCATACCCTTATTTTTCTCCGTGCAGAAAAAAGTACCATAATAACCATACGCCACGTTGCACTGAAACTGAAATGAAATGAAACGAAAGTTTTCTTGATTGTATGGTTTTTTTTTTTGGCGACTTGGTCACGTCTTCAATGCACTTTTGCTACTTGAGAGAGGGCGTGGCCAATGGGGTGTGCAGTGACATTTATTGTTGCTTGTTATTGGTGTTGTTGCAGCAGCAGCAGTAGCAACAGCAGCAGAATCAGAATCAGTTGGTCCCTGTTCGAGTACCTATATCTACTATATAGCCAATGCACAAGTATCAAGCTACACACCCATACATATACAGAAAGGCGATGAGTTTTATAGGCGCTTTCAATACTGGGCCAAGGTAGTTTTTATCTTTTTACTTTGCCATTTTATTGTTGATGTGATGGCTATTGTTGCTGTTGTTGGCCCGTCTGGCAGCTTTAGCCGATTTTTGTTGCTGCCTTTTGTAATTGCAATTTGCAATCCTTGAATTTGTGTTCTCTTTTCTTTGCCCATTCTCGCATCGCCTGCTGTCTCATTAATTTTGCATTACTCATCTGCTTAATTTTATTTATTTATTTTTCCTTTTGCCAGATGCGAGGGAAATTGTACAGGAAAAGCACGTGCGGAGGGCAAAGTTTTTCGAAAATATAAAAGAAATTTAAGCATTTGAAAAGCTCAACGTTTCCTGAGAAATATTACTCAAATTATAAAAGTTTTTTCACTTAAATGCACTCAGAATCTGCTATCATTAATGATTTAAAATATTTACAAATTGTGAGGGAGCTCTTTCGCATTTCAATTTCGATTTTCTTTCCATTTTGTTTGTTATTTTTATGTTTGTTTTTCGATTTTCCAATGACGTCTGCCAGAAATTTTCCATTGCATCGAGACAATTGGCAGCCAAGTCAAGTCAAATGAATGCAATTGGCACACATACAGAGGCATGCTAGTTCTCCCTCCCTTGGAAAAGCACGCGTCACCACGCCCCTGCACTTGTATATCTCTTATTCGATCAACCTTCCTTTCTTGGCTTGACTCTTTTGGTTCGTTTTTCAAACAATGCCAAGCTGTCAAAGCTATTGATTTGAGTGTGCGACTTATGTTTGCCATGTGAACGCCTTTAAACACCCACCAACGCCCCCTTTTTTCCCATTTTCCCTTCTATCCTTCATGTCCTATCATCTGGGTATCCTTCGCCCTTGTCTGCGTGTTGCAATCAATGAGTTTTCCTTGGCAAGCGCTTTTCTTCTGCGCTTTTGTCCTTCTGGCTTTCTCCTCGTTTTGATCCTCCCTTTAACTCCTTTTACCGCCTCTTTTCACACTTTACGCCCCTTTTCCTGGCTTCTAAGCCCCCCTTGCCTCTCTACATTTTTCCCTCTACACATGTGACTGCATCTAAAGGCAAAAATGCAGAGTGAGCACCAAAAACAAAAAAAAGGGTAAAAGAACGAAGTAAGGGAAGCGAACATTTTGCACTGCACAAACTTTGTTGCCAAGCTTGTTTTACTTAAATTTTATTTGTACAAGGCTTCAACACTGCCACTTTTCACCCAAACTCCCGGGAAAATTGCCTTTTTTGAGCTACCAAAAAAAAAGTGCCAACTTGTAGTTTGTGCCTGACGGTTAGTTGGTCTTAACTTTTCGCTTTTTGCCCGAACCAATTTGGTATGTAGAAGGAACAATGTAGAAGTTAGGGATTTCTTAGTCATACATACCAGGATCCAGCTGATCCATATATATGGTCAATCCAGCCAGAGCAGGCAATGAACCAAAAATCTGAGGCCAATTCATTGGCCTTTGGCCTTTGTTTTTCTGCCAAAGGGAAAATAGTAGCAGGGGTGGGGTGGATAGGTGGCCATAAACAAGACTTTCCAGCTGGTGAATACATGGCCATAATCTATGACCACGTCCTTGCTACCATCCCATATCATTCGACTTGGCCCCAAAGGCCTTTTGTTTAGATTTATTGCTTTTTCTGTTTGTGCTCTCTAGTATTCCCCATCCCAGACTCCCTCTCTCTCTCTCTCTCTCTCTGTGGGTTCTTTTTAGTTGATAATTGATGAACATTGTGACTGCTGCACAAAAGGACACCCCTGCATTCGCAAATTCAAAGCAATGCTGGCCAGAGAGATCATCTCTGAGAACACACACTTTTCCATTTGAATCCTATACATATATGCAGAGGAGACATGTCAATCACACTGATTCAATTAAGTGAAGTGCAAGCCACACAAACAAACAAACAACCATGACACAGACATACACACCCACTCACAGAGAAGAGAGAGAGAGAGATATTTACCAATACAAACAGACTTGAGGGCTTAGTCCAGGCAATTGAGAATCGACCTCAAAACAATTGTTTGTCTTTGTACTCCAAATGCGCTCACAAGTAGGCAATACAAATTCCAAGGCCTCAAATTTGAAATCCGAAGAAGTGATGAATAATGAAAATCAGTCTTGAAATTAGATTGATTAAAATAAATAGAACTCCTTGTTGAAAGTCAAATAATACTACTGCCAGCTTTTGCTGAAACTATTTTCTTAACCATTAAAGTTCTTCATAATATCCATGCGAATATCACATCCTGCAGTGATTGTCTTTCTAACGAAAATCACTCAGTTTTGTCATATAAATGACATAAATAACAATCAGCTGCTTCTACCTAAGCTCCCACCACACCGCCAGTGTGCTTGGAGTCCTCAACCCACTCAGCTGTCAACAAAGTCATTGCAGGTGTTAAGGCGTGAACGTGCACACAGAAATATATTGGTCGTTGGGAATGAGTGTTAAGGACTGTTGTTAACTGCTCGCAGGACTAAAATCATGTGCCAAATGCCTTCGAGCGGCAACTAAAAGTCGTAAGCAACAGGAGCAACAAGAGCAACCACTGCGATGAGGATGCTTTAATAATGACAGCCCAGAAGAAAGGAGAAAAACTCAGCTCAAAGCCGAGGACCAAAAGTATTACTCGCACTCGAACTGATAGGCAGGCAAAAGTTTATTTTTGGGCTATGAAATTATTATTAAAGTTGGTGTATTTCAGAATAAAAGGGAAACGTTTTGAAATTATTCTAAAATCATGTCATTTATTTTTGTTACATTCTAATACCCATACTTTTTCTCAGTGCAGTTCATTGTTTCTTTCCGGCTGTTTGTATGGTGTGTGTTCATGTTGAATGATTGCCGACGCCTGCTGCTGACAAGTGTTGCGTGTTTTGAATATGGTCGCACATCTATTCAGAAAGTACGTCTATACTCGCTCAAGTATGTCCTTTCGACTTGTCGTCTAATGACAAAGCCAAGCGAATTTCGAGCCCTTCAAGTGCTTTGTTTGCTGCCTCATAGCGATGTTGATTGGCGCTGTCGAGGGTCTTTTGCTTGTATTGAAAGAGTCCTTCAATAAAAACATATGTTTGATCTGCATGTATGAAACAAGGGACTCTTAAGTGACTCATTTAGAGGGGTGGGTCTTGGCCTAATTCATAGCTATGTAATAAGAGCAACAAATGATGACTATCAAAAAACAAGCAAGAATTAGCTTTATTTCATAGTTTAATAATATAATATATTCCTTAATAAACGCCCTCCTTGTTGATTTATCTCTTAAATTCAACTCTTAAATGGACAGTAAATAAACCTCGCCCAAAAACGCCCCGAATAAAAGCAACTTCAGCTTGCTAAAATCCTTTTGTTGATTGACTCACCTTGAATGCTGGCAACTTTGCCTTTTAGCTGACCTGAAAGTTTGTTAATGCCATTCCCCGAATGGCGATAGAATCCCTGCTATGCAAACTGCTGCAGCTGCTGCTTAGCTTCATTTTAATTTTTAGCTGCTGCATAAAAAAAAAGGAGAAAAGAGCAACGAATAAAACTTTGCCGTCAGGGCTTTTGTGCCACTTTTCATGCTGCATTGCAAATTTTTTCAATGTTGCGAAAGGAGATTATGGGGTGGCGAAAACTTTATAACACTCATTTCATTCAAAGTTTGCCGGCACGGAACAAAGTCGTGGACAAGTGGGAGGATTTACGGCAGTACACGAGGGGTCATTCAATGGTTCATCAATCATGCCACGCCCTCTAATCAAAACATGAAGTGCCGAACAGGGGTTATCCCGGCCATATGTTGCCTGCTGGTTTGGCCGCCTAAAAGGCTGCAGCAATTTCGTTGATTAGCCTTGTGTCTGCGGCAAGTTTCCACCCACTTTGCCACCCAGCTTTATGCTGTTTGTTATGGCTAAACATAAAAACTAAACGCTAACGCACACACACTCACATATGCTATGTAATTGATACGGAATGGTGAAGATAAAGAGAGAGAGAAAAGCAAGGACATGCCTCAGCAGTTTGCCGAGTTTTTTACCTTTATGTTTCAGGAGTTCTTTAGTTAGGGTATAAAATATAAAGAAAATATGACAGCAGATGACTTGCTAGCTCAAAATATTGAAAAACCTTACTCATCAATCTGTTCAATACATTTACAATTTTCCTTTAACTGCTTGGAAATAAAAATTTTAAGTTTATTTTAAACCCATTTTTAATATTATTATAAGTAAATATTCCTCACAATTTATTTTATAAAAGCGTAGCACTATTCAACGTTTTTATGATATTCACATATTTAAATTTTATAGCTTATAGTGCATATTCTTGTTCGTCTTTTAAGAGCTTTTCCTCTACATATCTTTGCCTCTTTGCTTTTTTTATGTGTGACGTTTGGTTTTTATTGCGACTTGGCTCGCCTCAAGGTAACAGGCGATGCATGAATGTGGGTATTCACACCACAGAAAACTCCCACCCACTGTGCCGCTCTGCCACACAATACCCATACCCACCATTCCCCATCCCCAGCTGATCCAAGAACCAGTCATTCCTCAGATGGTGGCCAACACCCAACGCAGCATCATTTGGGCCTGGCTTTATTCCCATTTCCCCGCAGCTCCTTTTGGCACAGGTGCACGTTGATATATGGGCTTGAGGTTGGCCCAAAAAGCAGAGGGGGTGGTTTTGGCACGGGCCAAAGTCGTTTTAGGCTTAGGTCGGTGCTGATATATGTATACATATATATGGCCCCGTGGCAATCGCCAGATCCCCATGGCATATCTCTCGCTCCCCTCGTTTATTCGGCATGAGCCACATTTGAGTTTCTAATCAAGGTAATTTTATGTTTGCCAAGCTCGACTAATGCCAAAATTACATTTTTAGTAGCCCCGCCACCATTCTCTTCTCGCGCATTTCTTTGCCACTTTCCCATTTTGGCTCTACCCACACAAAGTGGTTTTTTGGCCAACACGCCGTATGCGTGATAAATGCAAGCCAACATTTGGCTTATCCTTAATGCTCATGTGAGTGGTGGTCTGTTTGAGTGTGTGTGTGTGTGTGTGTGCAAGTGTGACTGCGACTGTGACTGTGGAAAATGGCCATTCTCTTTGAGCTGCTAATTAGGCCAACATTGTGGGAGCAAAACCAGCAAAACAACAGCAGCCAATTGTATGCCAAGACAAGCCATTAACATTAGTGGAGAGGATGGGAATGGAAATGGCAATGGGAATGGGAGACCGACTCTGAGGATAATATTGTGTGGCGTGGAGCCAAACAAAAGGTCACATTTGAGGCAACATTCGTTGCCTTGACTTGCTGACCAAAACAAGCTAAGAACGTGACTTGAAAGTACATTTAAAACTGAGCCAAAAGAAGGCCATTACTGCAAAATGTCGTTTATGAGGGAAATAAGTGAATTGCTATGTCAGTAAACATAAATTAAATACTTTATTTTTTGAAATCGTAAAAATTATAATAAAATTTTATGAAAACAATCTAATCCAACTTTAAGCATCTTTAGCCCCAAAATGTGTGCTATAAAGAATGCTGTCCAGCAGAAAGTGGTGTCACAACATCCTTGACAACTAAATCCCAATTCGAATTGATGCATCCAATCAACCATTTCGCCAACCATCCATCAGTCAATCAATCAATCAGTCAAGCGACCAATTGCGCTTGCGTTTAGGGTCAATAGAGGAGCGCTTGTCAACGATGAAGGTTCCAATAAGAGGGTGTCGGAAAATTCGTGTATGTGTGTCAGTAGATGAGAAGCTTTATGCCAGTGTGTGTATGTGGATGTGTGTGTGTGAATGTGGTGTGAAGTGCATCACTTAATGCATCACTGAGCAAACGATATCTGGGCCATTGACACTAAGTGTTTAGAACATTTTCATTTCAAGCCTTTGCTTTTACATGGCATAAACATGTTGGCTGTCGAATGAAAGGAAAAATAAATGGGTATATTAAAAAAGGGTTAGGAACTAATAGCATACGAAGTATAGTTTAATACAAGTTATAATATATAGTAACTTAAAATCTATAATAACTACATTCTCTCCCCTTTATTATCCTTACAGTTGACATGTTCAAAGCCAGCGAGGAACTCTTAACTTTGCATATCGGTAAGTGGAATTTTCCGTGTTCCCAATTCATATGGAGCTATGCTCCGCTTAAAAGCTCATTAAAAATTGAATGCATATGCAAATTGAAAGTTTTTATTGGGGTTCACAGGGCGGCAGTCAAAAGGCATGACCCAGAAAGGCAGCTGAAATTGAAGCTAATCAAAAATACATATTGACACCGCAGGAACGGTGAAAAGAGTCTAAAATACAGAGGACTCATCAAATACAGAAAGAAGAAAAGTAAATCCCATTTATATGCCGATGCTGTCAATTTTCAAAGCATTTTCTCTTTGCTAGAAAATAAAATGTAAAATGTTTGACTATGTACGTGTCTTTGTTTGTTTCTGTGAGAGTGTCGGTTAAGCAATTTGCCAGTTTTTGTTTTGAATATTTGACAAAAGTTTATCTAATTGACAGGCTCAACATTTTGGGTCCCTCCTAAGCAGGAATACTCTCTGCCACATTAATCATACGCCATGTGTTACAGGCTGGCTCACACACATTGGATTATTATGGGTCCGAAAAGAAATTCCGGCCAGCACATGAAAATTTCATTAAATTTTAAGCTGGTTATACTGTCTGGCTGTCCCTCAGTCTGTTATGGGTCGGAATCTCGTTGGTTTCCAAGTTTCTGATGCTGTTGTTGCGATGACAAACGCCCCGAAAAGCTGTCATTAGTTGAAATCACATGTCATTGGCAGGGCGAAAGTGACCCGAGTGTGCTCGTCATAGGAACCCGAAAAGAAAAGGCGTAGCTAAAGGGGGGTCAAAAGGTCTCTATGGGGAGAGATTTTCTGACCTGCGCGAAAAGCTGTAAAAGTTTTATGAGACACCTTGGCTGGTTGACTCTTTGGGTTAAGATTTTTAGAAAACTTTCTTTAAGATTTGTTTATCCACATTTCTTGAGGAAAGTTTTATTTTAACGCCTCTCATATGGCAGATATTATTTGAAAGCTCAAAAGTTTCTATATGTATTGTAGATTGATTTCTATATTCTCCCAACTAAGTATAAAGAAAACTGCTTAATATAAAATAGTAAAAGACCCCTTTTAAGTCTTATTACCCATGCTTATGACCCCTTGTCAAGTGTGAAATGTGTGTGTCTATGTGCCGTTTGCCTGTGTATGTTTGAGCGTGTTGTGTTTGTGTGTGTTCGCCTGCATCTGTTGTTGTTGGGTGCTTAAATGTTTGCCTACGTGTCAGTCTTGTCATTGGCAGTTGCTCTCTCGCTCGCACAGAGGATGCTGCTTTTATGACAGTTCATTGATATTCATTTGTGTGCGTGTGTGTGTATGTGTGCTTCCCCCTTATATAAATATAGAAATATCCTTGGCATGAGAAGCAACCCTTTAACCCATTAAATAAGTTCATACGAAATTCTGTTAAATGGTTGAAAAAAAAAGAATCCAATTAAAAATCATGAAAAGCAGCTGGAAGGAAGACAAAGCCTCGAAAGGGACCGCAAATCGGCTTATGGCCATAAAGCGACTTCCAAACGAAACTCAATCAAAAGTGAAGTTTGATTTCCTGCATGCGACTTTCCTTTATTTCCTCTTCCTTGCATACTTTGCTGCGCCCGGGAGAAATATTGGAGAAATGCTGGCAATTTCCAAGTGCTCAGTCAACTCTGTCTCGCAGTCTGCCTCGGCCATTTCCCCTTTATTCATTCTCTATCTCACTGTCTGTCTCTTTATTTCCCAGCCTCAATCAATATGGCTTAGGCAGACTCGTTATAAATTCATGTCCGGCGTTTTTCTTTATTTTTTTCCCCGCACGAGGTCCCAGCATGAATATGAATGAATGTAAGCAAACATAATAGTGGTACAAATAATAGCTTCAAAAATAACCTTCTGCGAAAAGGGTTTACCTTAAATCAAGTATAATTTGGAATGATTTTACAAATAATATTGTATATTTATACGTCCATAATCTAGAAGACTTTCATTGTAAAAAATACATAATATTACATTTTTAAGAAACTAAAATAATGTATCAAATATATATCCTATTATCTTGTCCTCAACTGTATTTATAAGCCATCTAACCCATGCACAATTCTTATGACAGTTTTTTCTCCGCGCTTTCCCTTTTGGGCTGTCGTTTTTCTGTTGGCTTTTTCTACGCCAATTGAACTATCTAAAAAGAAAACTCTTTTTTCCTATGCCTCTCCTCTGGCTGTCTTTTGTGCGGAAATTCCTTTTCAAAATCCTCCGCACCTGCAGGTTGGAAAAGTTCAAGTGTCGACAAACTTTAGCTTCAAAACCAAAGCAAACAAAATCTCATCAATTTTTCAATGTTCACCTTAAGGAAAAGGAAAACCGAAACAACGGCAACAAAAATTAGCAAAGTTAAGGGCGAAGCGGAAATTTTGTGAGGTTAAAGAGGAGGACGAAAAAGTGGGAGTGTTTTCCACACCACCTTAAAGCCCATTGATATATATCTTCTAGGCCCAGAACAGACACTGAGACACTTAATCCGCACGTTTACACCTCAACGCACACAACAAATACTTGAGAAGGGGTGGATAAAGGGGAGTGGCCCGGGGGCTATGTTACCTTCGACTTGGTATTCACCATAAATTTGTGTATTCTACTTAATAATTAACTGAGAGATGGGGGCGTGAAAACTTTGAGGCTTCCACAACAAAAGACTCAAAGACAGCTTAATAAGGATGCGGAAACTGAAGGTCATATGAGGGGGAAGGCAAAAGGGGTTGCCATGAATGGAAAATGGCGAAATCAAAAGTAAGATTAGCTTCAATAAGGAAAGGAGCAAGAACGGAGACCTTAATCGATTTTCTCTAGAGATTAATTGCGATTCATGGAAGCGGAATAATAAACCATTTCTGGAATCGCATTAGACTTAGGCTTAAGCTTATTCATGTATGCATTTAATTAAACTCTGTTAGTTAAGGTAATACCAATCAATTAGGAATTTCACATAATATGCTTATTTTGTACAGAATCAGAACTCTTCCCAGTTAATATTAAGAAACTTGATTTCCTAAATTCTTGATTCCACTTCACATTCTCCTGCCTCAAATCAAATTTATCAGCAATTATATTCCATCTCAATTTCAATGAATTGATTGGCTGAGCTTAACCAATCAAACCAACATCAACAAATCCTTCCAATGAATTCCTAGAAACTGGACAAGTTTTCGCATAAGCACCTTTCCTTATTCATTCCAATTCCACAGATATTTTCCTCTATTACGTATATTCACTTTTCCTGCGGTTTTCGCTTTCTTTTTCTCGCATCAGCAATAAAAAAAAAAGGCAGGGGAAAAAGTTAGATGATTACAAGACAAAATGCGGCGCTGCTTTAATTGCACTTGAGCCCCCGACCTTCGACTCCCAACCACCTCGGTATCCAGTTCAAGTTAATTTGCTCGGCGCCTGGCTCAACGATGTTCCACTCGCTCATTAATTACAGCTTAGTCCGACCCGCAGTCGGAGCCTTAATGATTTACCTGCAGATGCTGTTGGTGTTCTCGCAAATATTGCTGTTCTTCATGTTCTTACACTTGTACAAAATAATTGCAGATAAATCCAATAAAATAGAAAAGTTTTTTAAATAGACTTTGATAACCATAAATAATGGTGCTTTAGGTTAAGTAGGTGAACCTTCTCGAAGTAAGAGGCAAAGACTCACATTACAAACATAATTTATATTTTTATATAATATATTTCCGTAATTTAAAATATATTTCAGCTTTTTTTCTTTCCTTTACATTTTGTGTAAAAACTATTTCCTACTTTAAGTTTTTTGCGCCTTATTCTTTTTTGATTCCTGGCACTTTGCTCATCTCCATTTCCACCATTTTCCTTTTGCGGTGTTTTCCGCTGCGGCTGCGGCTGTTTGCAAAAGGACCTTTCTTTGGCGTGGCTTTTCCCGGCTCTATACCCAATGCTTTTTTACCTTTTGCTGGCTGCCGCCGCATCTTATTAATGCTTTGTAATCAAATACACTCTTACTTATCTGCCCTTCTTCCCATTCTCTGGAATTTTTCGTTGATTATTTTGAGCTTTGCGTACTGATCTGATGACCACCTGACCTCCCTTTTACCCCCTCACGTTGCGCATTTAATTAAGCAAATAGCAGGAAAGTTTTGTTTGTTTTTCTTTCTGCGGGATTTCCCTTTTGCTATTTTGGGTTTTTTCAAGAGTGGAATTGATGCTCACTTGTTGCTCACTTTGTGGCCTTTTGGGTTTTTCTTTTTCCGCCAGCGGTCACTTTGATCAAATAATTAGGGAAAGAGTACACATAAATTGTTGGTAAAAGAAAAGTAAAATCAGATTGACGTAAGATAAACTATTTTTGATTTTTCAAATGTAATTTTAAAATTAATTTCCATATATTTTTTATATAATGTGAAGGGACGACGATAATTATAAGTCATTTTTTATTAGCACTCAACTTTAACTTTATTTTTTGTTTTGCAATAACATTGATTTCCTTTGTGCACACGTGTGTGTGAGTCGAGAGACCTTCTGCAACAACTTGTCGCCTTTCAACTGCACTCCCTTTTCCAATTTGCAACTAAATTTGCACGGATGTCGGTCAGAGGAGTAGAAAGAGCAAAGGACAGCTTCACTCACGTTTGCCAGTTGGAATTTAATAAGAAAATATGCTGCCAGCAAACGTGACAGCAGTGGAAAATGAGGAAAATCAAGAGAATCGAGAGGGAATTCAACTTAAAGCAACTGGCAGGCGAAAAACCGCAAATGCAGTTTAATTTTAATCAAATTGCAGAGCAATTAACTAGTAAAAGGGAACCAAGAGTTTTCAGGGAGGGGGTTAAAACAGGTAAAGCGCAAGGAGGTGCCACAATTAATAATGAATTACACGCAAAAAGAAGGAGCGGGGTTTCAGGGGGTTGAGGAGTCAACTTACTCAAGCCAAAATGTCAAGACTGCAACTACAAACAAGGTTGCCAATGGCGAAGACAACTTAATTAACCTCGACCTTCTCCTTACAACAACTGCAATAATAACGAT